AACTTATCATATCACATCTGATACCATCAAAATCTGAAGATCAAATTTCATAATTTGCTCTAATATCATAAATCTCCAAATACACTCTAGCTTACGAGATCATGATTTATCTAAAATTTATATTCACTTTACAAAATGGCTAGCCTTCTAACTCGTCACTTCCCGTGGTTTCTCCGTCCTCGTTTCACTTCCTGAAATGGTGGACAAGGAAAAACTATGAGATAAACTCAGTAAGTAAATATGGAGTGCCCTTAATTAAACTTATAGCATGCCACATGTGCAATCACGCAAAACGGATACAGTATGGGAACGAAATAGACGTCTCCTCTATAGGTCACGGCCAGTGTTATAAACCTCCCACTGTCAGGCTACAGAATTTGCTGGTGTATAATCCCCACTAGCAGGGTCACTGAACGAACCGGTTCTATCAATAACATGTCGACATGTGCTAGCGTTTATAAACCTCCCACTAGCGGGCACGCGAATAACATGACCATATCGGAGACAAAACAGGCAGAAGTTCACAGGAAAATCACAATTCACAATCACTTTCAGATCATCACTTTCAAATCATTAGGACAGTCACTTAAATTCCAAGTGGGCATGCTCAATTTAATGAAAACTATAAAACATTTCACTTCAAATCAATCACACTTGTGTAAAACGGGTTTAGCCCCCGCCACCACTTCAAAAACAAATCAAAACATGCTTTTAAAACAGTACGGGCATTACCATAATTTACTTACCTCACTCGCATAAAACCGAGCACTCAATTCACGCACTAACTGACAGAACGATCGGGAACCTAATCAAAACACCTCAGAATTAATACCGGACTATCACACATTCAAACTGAAATCATCATTAGGATCACTCCTAATCACAATGCTACTTCCATAAATCTCCACATGATTAAATATCTCCAAAATCATTCTCATATCACAAACTAATCATTTAAATTCCCGTTAAATGTTGGCCCTCGGGGTGTGAACAGTAACAGGTGAACAGTACCACGTCGTGAACAGTACCACGTCGTGAACAGTAACCCCGACTTTCACAAATTGGCCAAAACACTAGCTAATCTCACGGGATTTTCTCCAAAAATCACAACAACCAACTAACACTCAATCACATAAATCTCACTTGAATTAAGCAACAAAACACACTTAAATCCCTCTTAATTGCTACCGG